AAATTTTTTTTTTAATAATTTTTTTAATTTTTTAGTTAAAATATAATGTAAAAAAAATTAGTATGTTTAAGATAATTTTATATTTTTTTTACGAAAAGATGTGCAAAAAGTAGAGAGAAAATAAAATTTTTAATTTTTTAATATAGGTTGTTTGGTTTTTTAATTTTTTTAGTGACTTTTTAGTTAAAATCACACTTGCCAAACGAGGTTTTTTAACTAAATCTACAAAAAGACAAAATAAGCTAAAATAACTAATAAGATAAAATATCACATCAAAAATCTATAATTATTTCACTCTTTTTCTCACAAACAGCACATCTAACTATATAAAAAAATTCAATTATCTTCCAAAACACAAAAATTTTAATCTACTAAAATAATAATTTCCCAAACACCCACATAATATGTACACTAAATAAATTAAAGGATTTTTTTTAAGGTCCCTAGTATTAAGATTTTATAGTATAAAGGACATTCAATATTTTAATAATGTCTAAGGTCCCTCAAGTTGATCCAAAGAAAATTCACGTCATAGAGAAAATTGGTCCAGAGAAATTCTAGGAAGAATTTCTCTGGACTTTCTAGAGAAATTTTGAAATTTTCTCTGGCCTTCCCTAAACTTCCCACTGTAAATTTCTCTACCCTCCCAGTCTCCAAATTTATCTGCCTTCCATATACTTCCCACTCTCCCAGAGAAATTTCTTTGCCTTTCCACAAAATTACATCTCCAGAGAAATTTTAAATTTCTCTACCCTCCCTGCCTCTCTTGGACTTAACACTCCAGAGAAATTTGACTTCATCGGCATTCAATTGGTCAAAATGAATCCAAAGAAATTTGAAAACCCAAAGAAATTTGAATTTTCTCTGGGTTTGAGTGAAGAAGCTATAAAGATTTAAAATTTGAAATAAACTCAACCGAGAGAAATTCTCCCTCTCCAACCCAAACCAGAGAAATTATTCTTCCCCAATCCAGAGAAATTCCATTTTCTGTGATTGGGATGCCAGAGATAGAGGAAAATTTCTCTGCTTAACATCATGGCCAGCTTTGTATACATCAAGAAGATAAATACAGAGGGGGCAAAATGCAATGAAGCCTTTACATTATATATATATATATATACATGGCCAATGAATGCCTTGACATCTTCACCAAACTCATATACTAGCAAAGGGTAGTCACCAGAACGCTGTGCCGCGCTGGCAGAAAGTCATACCTCCGGTCAGACATGACGCAGAAAGGATTTGTCAAAACTTCCTCCATGTACTCAGCAATCGAGATTGGCCCACCACGAAACTGAGCATATACCACCACCAATCATGACTTCAACTTCCCAGCTTATTCAAAATATAAAAATAAATAAATAAGTTGCAACAAGAAACTATTTAGACATTTGGGGACATTTATGGAAATTGAATTGGCGATTCTCTTTTCTTAGAATTTCTATAAACAAAGACGTGCATATTAAAATCTAAAAGAAAACACTCGCTTTCATGGCACACATACACATACATTTCCGCAAACACTGAATCACATTACGACAGCAATACACTACAAAAAATTTGACAAATACCTCAAACGCCGTCTCAAAAGGTTTTTTGCGACGGTAAGTGACTTTTTGCGACGGCAAGTAGGGGGTCGCAACAAAGGGGGTTGCAAAAGGGTTTTAGCGACGGCATAACGCCGTCGCTGTTTTTTTGTGATGGCAAAACACCTTTTTTGCAACGGAAAAATTGTGTCGCAATTAACGTGTAAATATCTGAGTTTTTTTGAGACGGCACTGTATTGCTGTCGCTAAAAAGGTCTTTTGCGACGACAAAAAATACCGTCGCTAAAGGTTTATTTGAGACAGCACCTGAGCATCGCTAAAGAACTATTGGCGACGGCAATAACACCGTCGCTAAAGGCCTTACATTTCAACCAATTCCCTATCTTTTGCGACGGTAAAGGTGCCGTCGCAAAAAACCCTAGTTCAATTTTTTTTTTTGAGACGGTGTGTGCTGCCATCTCAAAAAAAAAAAAATTTATATTAAAATTATTAAAAATATGAAAATAACTATAAAAAAAACCGATAATTACATAATAATATAAATACATACATAAACAAAAGTTGGCACATAATGAAAATTCATAATGTTATTCCATTCATAACAATACATAAATAAAAATTCATAACAATAGAAATTCTCCCACTACATAATATCGCATAATACATACATAATGTTGTTCACAAATCTAAATAACGTAAATCAAAACCAAAAGTTTTCATCTTGATTCTTCTCTGGGTTACAAAAACAAAAGTTGGTCAAAATCTTTATACGCCCGCATTCCACAAGAAGCAAACTGCTAATCAGGAAATATCTGAAAATAACAAAATAAAAATAATTAATGAATTTGAACTAGCATTATCAACTGTTAAGGTGAATATGCTATCAATGTTCCACTCAATTAAACACGACTCAATTTTTCGACCCAATGTTTCTCCTTTGTGATCCTCAACTTGTTGAAAATTTATGATTCTTTTTTGAAGTTTCCAGTTATCATCAATGAAATGAGCAGTCAAACACATGTAACACAAATTCTGAATAGATGTCCAAGTGTCCGTAGTAAAGCAAATTCTACGACCCTTCATGGCCTTCTTTAACTTATCCCTTTCATTCTTGAATATATTGAGCACTTCTCTAGATATGGTTTGACGAGAGGGAATTGGTGTGAATTTGGGTTGCATGACATTACAAAATCTTCTAAACCCAACACCCTCCACAAATCTAAATGGCAACTCATCAATGACCACCATCTCCGCAAGAGCCCTTTTACAAGTATCAAAATTAAAAATTGTTGCTACAACCTCAACACCCTCTTCATTTTGCTTCGGTTTAAGATTTAGTGTTTGTTGACCATCTGTATCCCTATTTGGATATTCTTTACAATTGGGTGTATGACTCCTCAAATTACTAGTCCCATGAGTTCTAGAGTCAGCCATATACTCTTTCTTACAATATTTACATACGGCTCTACGCTTCCCATCGGTCCCTACAACTTTGTCAAAATGATCCCAAACTGTGGATGGTGCTCTCCCCCCTCCACTACTCTCACTCTTTCTCTTTGGGGGTCTAGGAGGCTTAGGTTCAAGTTCAGGTTCGGGTTCGACTAAGAGAGGATTCATTTGAGAATTAGTGGATTCCGGAGGTACAAGATTGATTGCGGGAGATTGAATACTATCCTCCATTTAAACTGGATTACAAAAATACAATCACAGAATCAATTTTACAGACATTAAATAAACAAATAGAACAAACAGATTGGAAGTGTTTATTTAATTCACATGACAAATAGTACAAACTCCAAATTGTATATTCATTTGAGAATCTAGTCTCAATGTGATGGATACTAATTGATTTAACTTCCATGTTTGTATACTAATTGATTTCTTATGAATTTTATGTGAATTTTTTAGTGATTTTTAAAATCGTCCAACTTTTCTATATAATTTTCAAAGAGTTTTTCAATGATACAAAATTCATCAAAATTTGATTTAAAATGAAGATTTTGGCAACCGTTTTTCAATCGCTCGTCGATTTATCCCCTCATGGTTCAATATAGCCAAAAAAATCTCCCATGTAATTTTGGATTAAAGTGTTATTGTTTGTTTTTCCATCTAAACTAATGGAAGATCTATCACACACACACACACACCTTATTTTAGAGTGAGCTAGATTTTTTTTTTTTTAAATAAAGTGAAATTAACACAACAAAAATATAATTATATTCTCATCTTCTCCAAATCTAAAATTAAATTAAGATATTAATTAAAATAAAATTATAATTAAGGATTGATCTAAAATATAAAATATAATTAAAAATTGATCTAAAATATAATTAAATTAAAATTAGATTAAGTTGTTAGGAATTGCAATAAATAATTAAGGATCTACAATTAATTCTGATTTAATTGAAATAATGTTAGGAATTATAAATTATGTGTATGAAAGAGATGGAAGAAAATAACAGAAAATGCCTGAGAATATTACAGTAATTTCGCATATTTATCAAAAATATTTATCATGATAGATCATTATTTATCAAAAAAAAAAATAATGATGAAAAAAATATTTATCAAAAAAAATATTTACAGAAAATAACCCTTCATGACAGATCATTATTTATCAAAAAAAAAAATCAACATAGATCAGATGGATACAAATCAAATCTAAATCGACCCAACTATACCAACTTTTAAGCAGATCAGATCAGATTTTTGCTGAATATCAACACAGACAGATCATTATTTATCAACAAAAAAAAAAATATCAACACAGATCAGATGGAATGGAATCGTTGTTTCGCTGAGAGAGAGAGAGAGAGAGACGGAGACAGAGACTTACCTGAGAGTTGCCGAAGGTCGATCGGTGCTTCGCTGAGAGAGAGAGATGGAATCGGTCGCTTCGCTGAGAGAGAGAGAGATGGAAGAACAAGAGTGAGATGAGAAGAGAACTGTGAGAATGAAGATGTTTTTGAGAGATGCTTACCTGAGATGATAAGAGTGGTCAGTGGTTGCTTTGCTGAGAGAGATAGATGCCTGAGATGATGAGTGTGATCACCGATCGGTGGTCGCTTCTCGCAAACACAGAGATGGAAGAGAAGAACAACGGTGGTGAGGTGAGAGAGTGAAATGAAATGAAATGAGAGATATGTTTTGAGAGATTAGGTTAGGGTTTGTTTAAACGGTCCAGATTTGTTTGGGCCAAAAAAAATTTAGATGAACGGCTCAGTTTTTTCTTTAAAAAAAAAATAAAAAAATAAAAAAAAATTTATATAATGCGGGCGGGTTGTGTCGGGTACGGGTAAAACCCGCAACCCGCCCGCAACCCGAAATTCTCTCATTTTCCAAACCGCACCCTACCCTAATGTATTTGCGAAACCGCCCATAAACGTGCGGTTCGGATCGGTTCGGGCGGGTTGTGCGGGTCGGATAACCCGCTGCCCACCCCTAAAGAAACGGGTCCTTGCTATATACTTGACAGAACGCTAAATACAAAAGGTCCAATGATAATAATATAGTACAAGCAAAGTGAGAAGATAATAATAAAATCATGTACAATAATAATTTTACCAAGGGTTTGCCCGTATGGAGCTATGCAGCAAGCTTGAAACATTCCTACACAACATACATAACCGCTAAATGTTTAATAAAGTCTGTTGGTCATTGAAATCACCTTATTGTTTTCTTTTCTTTTATTTTTTCCATTTTAGTCAGTGTAATGGAATCGACTATATTTTTCTTCAATGCTAATTGGGGAATAAGATCATACCTGAAACAGAGATATAATAGTAGTCTATAATCTGTTCAACAAAAATTAAAACCAAAAACAAAAAACAAAACAAATATGCCATAATTTATATGAAACAAGAATAGGGTAAGAAATCAAGATGAGCATTGTCAGTTTTATATTTCTGAAGCTCCTCTTGGGCACATATTAGCCTGCATAAAAAATTAAAAGAAAATTTTAAAAGAAAAACAATGTTCAAAAGCTATGAGATTTTTTTATAACATTGTGATGTATAATGTCGTGTGTTTATGATTATAAAAACCTCCATTGCAAATCAGTTATTTCCTGAAGTAGTTCCTTCTCCCTATCGTGAGCCGCCTCTAGCTGCAACCAAACAACAAACGTACACAAAACAAACTACCTTATGTATTTCAAATAAAAAAAACAATGGAAGAAGATAAGTTGAAATAGAAGATATATAAATATATATATATATATATATTATAGTAAGATCCTTGTAGCTAAAAAGAAAATTCTTAGCATAATTTCAAATAACTAGTTTTATATAATTATTTCAAAACCATCGTGATAAAGCTAACTCAATCTTGAAATTCACAAATAAACTATCATATCTAAATTCGAGTTATTGTCCTTCGATGATTAAGGTCAAATCCCATGATTTGAAATCCACATCTATCCAAATGGAACCTAGGGGTTGTCAAATTTTAGCTATAGCTAAACCTCACACCAAATTTGCACAAAGTTTAGCAATGATAGCATAAGGTTTAAATAGCCATTGGAGAGCTCAAATTTGAGTTCTATGCTATTTTTTGAGAACAAGCCTTTCGTCATACCATTGGAGAAGCTCAAACTAAACAAAATAGTGATGTTTTGACAAATATCTATTCATGTTATTCTCATTTCCCAGCTAAAAAAAAGGGTGGAAAATCAGCTTCCCTTTCCTTTTCTTTTACCCCACAAATCAAAGATCCAAACACAACCGAAATGTTCAATTATGGGAGTTTCCTAAAGCCAATGACCACAAGTGACCCAAAATACTCATTAGATGAAGCAACAAGCTCAACTTCAAGAATAACATGATCAACCTTGTTCATGAATACCATATCTCTATACCAATGTTACCTGCTACACAAATCATTCATTCATGATAAATACGAAAATGACCATGGTATTCCACATGCACTAAAATTTAAGTATATCTACGCATGAGAGCAATTTTTTCTTTACAGTTAGGCATCCAACAAAATGTACTCTTTTATCATTCAAATTAATTAGGCAAAAACATAATTCTAGTACGATTACAGTCCATTTTCTTAAATTTATCCCATTAAAACTCCACTCTCAGGATTTTAATTTATTACATTTGATTTATTTTAGGGGGGGCAGGGGTTCAAACTTGGCCACTTAGTGCAAATAATGCAAAAGGTTAGGTTTATAGGCTCAAACTCTGTTTTATTTTTTTGGCAAAACTTTTGGGCATAAAGTTGTAGCCTTTGGATTCCAAACCCAGATTTATCCTTCTTGTCAACCCAAGCTTTCACCACATTGAGCAATGTCCTATTATAGTATGGGTTTGACAGTTTACTATGACACCATTTGTGCTTCTTTTTAATTTTAATTTATTTATCTCTTGAACCCACGTAACATTCTTGGAAAATTTGATTGCAGTGCTATATTTTAGTGGCCATTTGAATTTAGTTTTTTTAACCACATGACGTGACTTAGTTTACAAATATATAAGAGATGTATTGAATTACAATCTAATTCATGTAACATGTAATGATAAATGCATATAAATTAGAAAAGAAATTTTTTTTTTATAGCATTGACACAAGTCCATATATTATTGAGCCTCTTATATAATTAATATTCTATAACGTAACAATCTCTATTAGTCAAAAGTCTTTTAAGAAACTAACTTCATTCCTTGGTGCATAATTAATAATTTTGTTAGATAATAATTAATATGGTTTTGAAATATCCTCTTATACTCACTCACTCACTCACATTTACATAAAGAATGCCACTATAACTAGTGATTTTCCCTTTGATTCATCTTAATTGCATATAGGCTCAAACTCTGCTTTATTTTTTTGGCAAAACTTTTGGGCATAAAGTTGTAGCCTTTGGAAACCCACATTTATCTTGCTTGTCAACCCAACCTTTCACCACATTGAGCAATGTCCTATTATAGTATGGGAAATAAACTGAGCCATTCCACTATCATGGTGGTAGAAAGCTCCATCATACCATGCTCAACATTAAGTTTGAAGGTAGAAACTTATGCACTAAATCATCAGAAGCACATCGCAGAACTTACAGGTATGCATAAAGGTTAGATCTTCATAAAAATGTAAATTCCCAAAGAAATTTAAGAGTGCATGTAGTGTACAGTGCTCCCGAACAATATGATAAAAAAGACAGCACCCACTACCCAAAAACAGAACACGTCCAGAAGCTTATCTATGCTAAATATCGTACCTCTCTCCTTTACTAGGAAGAAAACAAGCATCTGGAAAAATGAAACTGCCAGATGCACCTCCCCTCTGATGAGCTTGCATGGCCATGCCCTCAAAGATTCTTCCACTGACGTCCAAATAACATTATCTAGAAAATTAAAATCTCAGTAAACCCTAAACCCCCATATATATTTATATATATATATTTCATAGATAGACAAAAATGTAAATTCATACCTCAACCATCTCCGCATTTCCAGCTCGTTCGAACAACCCAGCAAGGAGAGACTTCGAAATGAGGAACTTCGAAGGGTCTTCCGCTCACCGGAGAGAGAGAGGGAGAGACGTAAGAAGAGATAAGGGATTTTTGAGATTGGGGATTTTGGTTCAAGAGATTAGGGATTTTGGGTTTGGAATGGGGGAAACCCGAGCGTGAATGGAGAAAAGGAGGGGGAGGGAGGAGAGGGGGAAGAGATTAGGGATTTTTGAGATTGGGGATTTTGGGTTTTGGGTGGGGGGAACCCGAGCGGGAATGGAAAAGGGGTGGAGGGAGAGCGGGAATGGAATTTTTTTTTTTTCATTACAAATGAATATTTAAATAATAAACTGGCTCTTTTTTTTTCACAACAGAGGATGCCGTCGTCAAAAAAAAATATTTTTTATTAAAATAAATTTTTTTTTATAGTTAACGATTTTTTTTTTTCATTTAGTAAGGTTGAAAATTTATTTGTTTCATATTTATTTTAATGAATAATTTTTTTTTATTTGGTAGAAGTAGGGATAATATTTTCTATTAAAATAAAGTTAATTTTTTGTGGTTAATGAAAAATATTTTTTTGCGATCCTTTTTTTTTTTTGTTACTAAAAATCAAGAACTAATTTTTTGTGGTAGAGGATAGGGAGTAACAGTAGTGGTGAAGGTGGTGGATAAGAGGTGATAGTTGTGGTGGTAGTGATGGCGAAGGAGATTAGTGGTGAAGTTATGGTAGTAATAGAGGAGATAGAGTAGCGGTGGTGAAGGAGAGGTAATGGTAGTAGTAGCGGTGGTAGTGGAGTGGTAGCGATGATGGTAGTAATGATAGTCGTAGAGGTAGAGTGGCAACAGTGGTAGTAGTGGAATGGCATTTGCAGTAGTGGTGAAGATGGTAGAAGAGATGGGTGGTGAGAGAGAGATGAGTGAGAGACAGATAGAGAAGAGAGATAGAGAGAGAGAGACAGAGTGATGAGCGAGAGAGATAGAGTGATGAGCGAGAGAGAGACAAAGTGGTCGCTAAAAGTGTATTTTCTTGTAGTGGAGAGCTCGGTAAATAGAGAAGAGAGGAATGGGAGAGTGAGCAAGGTGAACAAAATTGGGAAGAGAGACAAACAGACACATATAGAGAAAGAGAGAGAGAGAGGAGTGAGAGACAGACAAACAGACGCAAAGAGAGAAAGAGAGAGAGAGAAGAGTAATGAGTGAGAGAGAGACAGAGAGAGAAAGAGATAAGAGAGAGAGAGACAGACAAAAAAATTGAGAGAAACAAGAGATGAGCGAGAGATAGACAAAGAGAGAAAGAAAGAGAGCGAAAAGAGATGATCGATAGAAAGACATAGAAAAATAGAGAGATAAAGAGAAGAGAAATAAGCGAGAGAGATGAGAGACGAACGAGAGACAAAGAGAGAAAGAGAAAGAGACAGAGACAAAGACTAACAGACAGAGAAGAGTGATGAGTGAGAGAGAGAAAAGAGAGACAAAGAGAGAAAGAGATAGAGAGTGAGAGACAGAAAATGAGATAGTGGTGGTGGTCATAGTTCCACCCATTGATTTACGTATGGTGTTTGTTCTGAGCTTTCAAATCATAATTTTACATCCATTTTTCAAAACTCAATTCAAAATATAATTATTACTTTTCAAAACTCATAACCAAACACATAATTCAAAACTCTTTTCAAAACTTAATTCAAATCAATTTTTTAAATATTTAAATATTTTAAAAATATTTTAATTTTGTGAGAGACAGATAAAGAATAGAGATAGAGACAGAGACAGAGTGATAAGCGAGAGAGAGACAAAGTGGTTGCTAAAAGTTTATTTTCTTATAGTAGATCGATAAATCGCGAAGGAACTCGATAAATAGAGAAGATGAGAGGGAGAGAGTGAGCAAGGCAAACATAGTGAGGAAGAAATAGACAAGTAGACAGAGAGAGAGAAAAAGAGAAGAGTGATGAGTGAGAGTGAGAGAGAGACATGTAGAGAGAGATAGAGAGAGAGCGAGAGAGAAAAAGAAACAAGAGATGAGCGAGAGATAGACAAAATGAGAGAGAAATAGAGCGAAAAGAGATGAGCGAGAGAGAGACATAGAAAAAGAGAGAAACAGAGAGAGAAGAGAGATGGGCGAGAGAGATAGAAAGATAAGAGAGAGAGAGAGAGAGAGAGCAAAGAAATGAGAGAGATAGAAAGAAGAGAGATGAGCGAGAGAGACAGATGAGAGAGATAGAGAGAAGAGAGATACGAGAAAGACACAAAGAGAAAAAAAGAGAGATAAACAGACAGACAGAGAAAAAAGAGTGATGAGTGAAAGAGATAAAGAGAAGGGAGAGAGATAGAGACAAAGAGACAGGAAGATGAAAAAATGAATGAAAAGAGAAATGTTATATCAAAAGAGTAAGACGACATGTTTTTTTTTTAAAATTTTTTTTGCGGCAGAAAAATACCGTTGCATTTATTCAAACCATTTTGTGACTGTATATATATGAAGCTGTCTCAAAACCACAATCACTATGCTAGATTAGAGTTTTCCAAAAACTCTTTTGAGAAAATTATACTTTCTTGTTTTCCATGTTATATTGTTTTTATTGAATTTTTTAAATATTTTAAGTATTTTTTAAAAAATTTTAGACACACCTAACATAAATACACCTAAAAATTAAAAAAATTATAAAAAAAATCTTTTAAAAATTCACTAAATACCAAAAATACAATAATTCAATGCATTTTTTTTGTATTTTTATGTATTTATTAATTTTTAAAAATATTTTTTTCATAATTTTTGTTTTAGATACATCTAAGTAAGGTGCATCTAAAAAAAATATTTAAAATTTTAAAAATATTTACTAAAAAAAAAAAAAAAAAAAAAAACATGAAAGTCACTTTTTTGCGACGGCAGAAAATGCTGTCTCAAAAAAACAGAGTATTTGCGATGGCACCATTTGCCGTCTCAAAAAAGTAGAGCATTTGCGACGACACTATTTGCCGTCACAAATACTCTCATTTTTTGAGACGGCAAATTGTGCCGTCGCAAATGCTCTGCTTTTTTGAGACGGCAAATGGTGCCGTCGCAAATACTCTGTTTTTTTGAGACGGCATTTTCTACCGTCGCAAATAGTTCCGTCTCATAAACCCACTTTTCTTGTAGTGATAGCAAATCCAAAACCAGACAGAGACAAAGAGGAACCAAGATTAAAAATATATATATATATATATATATGAAATTGTAGACCTTGATGATGCCTTTGAGGTGCTTAACAAACTCAGAATCCGAAGAAGGCTCGTGAGAATGCTCTGAATCAATTGAAGAAGCAAATTTTCAGTTGAAATTTTCACACAATTACAGAGCATATGCATACATAGAATGGGATAGAGAGGGATTACCGGGAGGATTGTATAAGCCGGAGCGATCGACGGAGAGAGTGGAAGAAGGTTGAGAAGTGGCTTTGGTGGATTGGTTTGAGCCCTCCAAGGGTTCGACGAAAGTACTGTTTTCGATTTGGGACGGTGAAGACGAAGAAGATGAGCATTGTCAAAAAGCTGTTAAGGGACCTTAGACATCACAAAATAATATTGTGGATCTCTTTCATCACAAAAAATGGGAGAGGGATCTTAGACTAATTTTCTCATAAACTAAATGTAAATTATAATTATATTCTCTAAAATTTGTTTAAAACACAAATTGTTTTCTGTAGTTTAAAAAATTATAAATATCTCATTGTCAGAATTTTTTATTTAACAAAATTAATTGAAAAAATAAAATTCATTACTATAATAAAATTATTTAAATTATTAATTGAAATAAATTTATGACATTATTAAAAGTTATCAATTAATTTGATAATTTATTAATAAAATGAGTTCTTTGTTATGAAATTAAAAATTTCAACGAGTAGAATGTAAGTTTCAAAATTATAAGAGATTATTTATATTTTAAACAAATATTAATAAATGTATTTATTTTTATGGATGCTTATTAGTTTATGAAAAAATAAATACATTTATTATTAGTTTATATATATATATATATATCTACTACCTACTACTATTATAAAAGTGTGAATATCTTACCATATTTTCTACTTTTTTAAAACCTAATCTCAAATTTATTATATTTTTTAAAAGTCATAAAGAGTTTTATATAAACCAAAATCTCTTTATTTTTGAAGTTAAACACTCAAAAAATAATTTATCTTCTTCTAAGAGTTCTATATAAATATAAACAAATCATATCCTTTCTTATCAAAAAAAAAAAATGTCTTCCTATTTTTTATATTATTGATGATTGAAAAACAAAAATTAATTACTCTTTTTTATTTTTTTGTATATACTTTTATACTAATATATATAATATTTATAATTGTCCATCGTAGATCAAATCACTGTGAATAATTTTAGTTGAATTTTAAAGTAATATACATTTATTCGAATCTAAACAAAGAAAAATACATATATTTTTAAAATAAAGATATATACTGCATCTAATTAATTAGTGAAACATAATTATTTTCTAGTCAATAGCAAACACGATAAAGAAAACCTATAATTAAAAAAAATCTAGAATGGTGTCGTGGAATGAGATTTAACTAAGCATTCTCAATTCCATCCCTTTAGCTAATAGTTAGTTGAAAACTCGATCCAAGTGATGCAATGGGGATGATGAGAAGGGCGTACAAGGTCAACTGTGGATGCAATTCCAAGATAACCCAAAAAAGTTCAGTTGAAAAGTGTTAGATGCAATCACGACAATATTAAAATATGCTAACTCTCTATGTGATGGAAAATATGCAACAACATCATAAAACGTGAAAATTGCATTATAGTTGGCTAAAGCAATAGACAAAATATTCATCAACCACACTAATTTTTTGTTTAACATATACTAAATAAGTCTATTTTTTTATTTGTTTTTATTTTTTTTAGTCATATCAATTAATATTTTCTCTTTATTTTTTTACACATCATTTTATAAAATGTCAAAAAATATATTTATTTAGAATATCCCCAACTACAGTAATTCTAACCCACCAAGATGATGTATCTCGACTGTTAAGTAGCGAAACTTCAATTATCTAAGCCGTCCCAACAGACGGTAGAGCACGGTCTGCCATCAAATTCATATAATTTAAAGTAAAAAAGTTACTAGTCATTCACATGGCTTTAAATTGGATATATCAACAATGATTCATCTCACTAAAAACACTACCACTAATAGCACTAATACATTAAAAAAGTAAAAAAA